GGGGGCGGGCTTGGTGGCGCGGGCTCGGCGCAGGCGGTTGAGGGTGGGGTCGGCGGCAAGGGGGCGGCGGGGAGCGCGGCGGCGGCGGAGGAGGCGGCTGGTGTGCGTGGAAGAGGCAAAAGCTCGGCCACCACGGCCCCTCTCTGCCGTGAAGGGAAGGGGGCGAGTGCGGCTGCGCGGTAGGGGACGGGGCTGAACCGACGCGCGGCTCGGCGTCTGTCCCGCGTCTGAAAGGGGGGGGGGAGGGGGAGGGCGGCGAAAAGCGCTGCGCACACGCCTTGCCCTCAAGCTCCCACTCGACCTTGCCGTCCTTGTCGAAGGTGAACATGGCGTTGTGGACCTGGCCGGTCTGGCCGTGGCGGACGCCGAGCGACGCCATCGGCTGGAACCAGTGCGTCATTACGCTTGCGCCGTTGTCGTGCGCCCAGTCCATCACCGCGGCCGCGACCTTGTCGGCCGACGTGGTCGTCCATGAAGGGTCGTCGAGCAGGCCGGCGGGCAGGCCGTGCTTGGCGAGGTACCTGCAGCAGGACACACACACCGATCACGGCCACCGCGGCGGAACCGTTCGTGGGATGTGGCATGTGGAATTGAAGTGCAATCAAGGCGAGCGGCGCACGCGTCCGCGACGGCGCCCTTGAAGCAGTGCTTGCCGTACTCCTCGCTGCCGGCGATGAAGTTACGACGCTGCGTGAGGGCGGGCGCCGCCCGCCGCGCGAGCGCGGACGCGGGCGCCCGGGAGCCACGGGCAAAGCGAGAGAGCATCTCTACGGTGGAGACTCCGACGATGAGATGGGCACCGAAAGAAACGCAGATACCGCCCCGCCGGAGGCTGGAGTACCCGGGAGGAGGAGCTGGAGGGGGGGGAGTTGCCGCAACGTGATAACAGGCCCGCCGGCGAGCCGAAAGGCCGAGGCTGAAGAGCCCCAGGGGGGGCTTGGGGTCAGTTCACAGTTGTCGGAGGAGGCGAGAGATGAGCTGACGCGGCCTCTGTGGACTGTGCTCTGAGAGTGGAGTCGTCGGCCTCCAACGCCTGGCCGCTAAGTCCGCTCCGCGCCAGGAAAGCCTCCTTCGCCTTGAACTCGAGCGCCCCCAAGCGAGCCCCCTCGACCCGTATCTCGTCTCCCAGCTCGTCCACCCTCGAAAACGCAGGCTGGGCCGCGCGCGCCGAGGCGCGCGCACAGACCCGGTTAACGACGTCCGAATACTCCTGCACCGTCATCGTCGGTGCCTCTCCTAGGAGTGCGCGTGCCCGCTCCTCCCTAAGCGCCCTCTCGTCCTCGTCCTCCTCCTCCTCCGTGTCCTCCCCCTCCTCTTGTGCCGCCACGTGCATCTCGTCCTGGAGCTTATAGAGCCGCGCGTATTCAGTGAGCTCAAACGGCAGCAGCTCCGAGTCGGGCCCGCACGGCCAAGAGGAAGAAGGAGAGGAGACCTGTGCCGTTGTAGCCGAGGTGATGGTTACGCCGCAGAGATACGTGGGACGAGGCCCCCCAGGGGGCTCCGCCTCTGCGGAGCCTCCAGAGCCACCAGAGATGGCAGGGGGGGGCGTCATTCCGTGGTTCGCCGCCTCGGTGTCGGGCACATTCTCAAACTCTCCTTTGTGGTCCTTGGCGCCACGGCGCCGCCCTCGACGGCGCCGCGGTGCCTTCCGCCCGCCCGCAGCAGCGGCCCCCTCGCCACTGCCTGCGTCAACCTCCATGGCGGCGCTCGTACCAGCGCCGCCCTCTGCCAGCGGAGCGGAATCCGATGTGTCAACAGACACAGCAGATCCAACTCCGCCGGCGACAACTGCGGCCCGCGCCTCGCGGGCGCCGCTCTCCGCCTCTGGGGTGCGTGTGCCGCTGCAGCCCTCGCTGCCAGCCACCGCCCCCTCGCTGCCCTCAGCAGCAGCGCTCGTACCAGCGCCGCTGCGAGAGCAGCCAGGCTCCATTTTGGAGCCTGAAGCTGCTGCGGGCCAACCTGCGGCAGGCCCGGCATCCTCGTCGGCGCTCGCGTAGCCGCCATCGACGGCCATGCCGTCGAGAGCGGGCGCGCTAGCCGCGCCGCCAGCCGCCTGGTCGCCAGCCGCCACCCCAGGAGAGGTGTCGTCCAGCGACAGGCGGCCAAAGGATGCCAAAACAGCAGCTGCATCCTCCCAGCCCCGTCGGCCGAGAAGATACCGGCGGAGCTTCTCCGCCTGGCGCTGCTGGATGCGGAGCGAGGCGATGCCCTTCAAAGCGACCTCCTCGAGGAGGTCGCCAGCATCGCCCACGTCCATGTCCAGCAGCCGCTCCTTGTATCTGCGGTAAAAGTCGTCGGGAACGCCCGCATTGCTGAAGAGAGCCTCGAGAGACTCTCTCAGGTCGATGGCGGGCGAAGCCGCCATCGAAGGCTTGGTGCCCGGCCGCGTGGCCCCGGGCTGCGGATCGGTGCTCGCTGGTGGCTGTCGAGAGGGCAGAGAGCGGCTTCAGGCAGCCGCGGGCGCTCGTTTCAAGTTTCTAAAAAAGAATAACACAACCGCTCTCACAGCAGACAGTCGTTAGGTGCGCCCACCGGCGCATCAAGGTGCGACCCCACCTCGATACACACAGTGTGAGTGAGTACTCGAATACTGACTCACACACACACAACGTATGCCCTCCACACGGCGACAGCAGCAGCTCGCGGCGGAGGCCGCGCGCTCGCCAGACTTCTCCTCGCTCCCGGACGAGATCCTGCTCAACGTCGTCGGTGGCGCATCTGGCTCGGCTCGCAAGCTCACCTATGCGTCGCTGTTTGCCTTTGGCGCCTCCTGCAAGACGTTACAGCGAATCACGAACGATGGCCGCTTGTGGCAGCACATCAAGTTTCTGAGCAAGAAATCGCGCCACAAGCTGTCCGACGCCCAACTCCGAGCGCTCCTGACGCGTGTTGACGCCCGCTCCCACACGAAGTCCATCTCGCTCAGAGGCTGCGTCTCGGTCACGGGGAGCGGGCTCTCCCCGCTGCAGGGCTCTGTCGCGCTGCTCTCCGCCGATCTGCGGCGCGCATCCTCAAAGCAGCGCGACAGGCGCCACCTCCTCACGGAGCGCGCCCTCGATGGCGAAGAGGTGGCGCGGATCATGAAGCCGATGGCCCAGCTCACAGAGCTGTTGTTGGACTGGGTGGACACGCGCAGCCCCCACTTTGTCGTCGCAAGCCAAGCGGACATGGCCCGAAACAATATGTGCGACAGCTGCGTCGATGTCATCAACCCTACAAAGATCGTGAGGACGAAGCCATGCAAATGCTGCGAGATGTACTTCTGCGCGTCGTGCAGAGCGGCGCACTGGAGCACGTGCGAAAGGTGCAAGCGGCGCAAGCGCTGCCTGCCTTGCCTAGAATCCAATGCCGACCGGGTGTGGGAAGGGGACTACGAAGACCACGACAGATTGTGCGAACGTTGCTCCGAGGAGGTCGAAGATGATTCTGACACTGACGAGAACATGTTTGGTGGATATGATTGGTGACTCCAGCTCCCCATATGTCACACGAGTAATGCGCTTCCCATTATTAGGGGCCTAGAGAACCCACAACCCCCTCTCCCTTTTCTCTGTTTCTCCCACAGTACGTGCCAGTAACGAGTAAGCTAAAAGTACGTACAAAGACGGTCTACAATGTATACCACCCTTTTCGCTTTCTGAGATTCTCTCTCGCATTCCTCAAAAGCTCGCCCCGAGGGGCGCCCCATCCGCGTCTCCCAGCCAGACCGATCCGCTCACGGCGCCCACCGGCAGGCCGTACCGCAGCAGCGCGTCACGCGGAAGGGCAGCGGCGCGCCCGGCAGCAAGCCGTCCAGCGGCACCGCGCCCTGCCCGAGCAGCGCGCCGGACGAGTGCTTCTTCACCTCGCCGTCCCTCTTGCAGCGACCGGAGCAGTGGCCGCCGCCGCAGCTGCGCGGGCCGCACGGCAAACGTCCGGGCCGGCGCCGCGTTTGGCTCGAACCGGATCGGCGAGTCGGCAGACCAGCCGCCGCGCGCCTCGGCGGCGCTCTCCTTGCGCGGCTGGTCGAGCAGCTCGCCGTGGAGGGAGAGGGAGAGCGGCACCGCCTCGTCGGCAGGCGCGGCTGCCCTGTCTTGGGCGTGCAGCAACGCGCTGCAGCAGGCTACTGCGTGTGCGGATGCGTCCTGGAGCCTTTTGAGCCGTCATCAGTCAGTCATCTGCACTGGTTCTGCTGCACACTGTGCAGGAAGGCGCCTCTCCGCGCGTACCTCGAGGTCCTCGCGAGCTCCAGCCTCCACACCACGCCCACCCCCGTGAGATGTCATTAGACATTACTCAATCTCTCAAATGCCATAATATATGTACGACCTAGTACGCGTGTACACGTACGTCAGTACACGCGCCGAGCGTGAAGCTCGAGACGCGGGGTTACCGTGGCGCTACACAGTATACTACTTTTTTCCTCAGATACAGAAGACACCTCAGAAACGGAGAGCTTGTCTGAGGCGTCACCACATGCACATGTGAGATGCAGTATCAGTAGAACGTCGAACGAACGCACGCAGCTCTCCGCTCTCCCAAAGCCAAAGATATCCCAATCTCCACCAGACCGGACACCTCTCCACCATATAACAACCGCTCACGGGACGCTCTCTGTCCCCCTCCGGCTCACTCAACGGCGCTCGCTTACCGCTCGCGCTCGGGCTGGCTGGGAGGGGGTAGAGGGGGGCGGGGTGGCATGCTCGCATGCATGCGCCACGGCACATACACGGCCGGGGCGGTTTGCCCGGCCGCGAGGGCTCGAGGCGAGACGGAGGAGCGCTCTCCCTCGTCAGGGGGGGCCGCTCACTTGCGGGACTGCTGGTTGTTGGCGACGAGGTAGTCGGCGACGATCTCGCGCGCGCCGTGCGGGTAGAGGTCGCCCCCCATGTCGTCCTTCTTCTGCTTCATGTCGTAGCACAGCTTGTCAAACGACTTTGCCGAGATCATGTGGCACGTGCGGTCCACCTGCGGTACCGGCGGGGGGACACTGGCGAGTGGGGCGCGGTGTTGGTGGCGGCGGCGGCGCTGCGCGGATGCGCGGTGGTGAGGGTGGTGGTGGGGGTGGTGGCGGTCGTGGTGGTGGTGGTGGTGGTGGGGGGGGGGGGGGGAATGGGGGGGGGGGGGATGCAGGCCTGCCACGTGATCGGCGCGTAGCGGGAGCACATTTCGTTGTTGCGCGTGGTGCCGGTGGTCGAGCCGGTGTACTTCGCAACGTCCACCCACTTGTCCTTTCCGTCCATCCACGCGCCGTCGATGAGGTTCTCGTACTGGTACTGCTCCTCGTCCGAGTTTACGATTGTGAAGACCTAAGGTCAGGCAAGGTCAGGTAAGCTTCTCCACACACACAAGGTGGTGGGGCAAGGGGCCAGGCTACCCCTCGTGACTCCACGGCTAAAGACAGACGCATCCAAAGTGCAAGGCCCGGTGCGCGTGCGGGTGAGAGCTCTGGTGTGTGCGTGTGTGTGTGTGTGTGTGTGTGTGTGTGTGTGTGTGTGTGTGTGTGTGTGTGTGTGTGTGTGTGTGTGTGTGTGTGTGTGTGTGTGTGTGTCGTGTGTCGTGTGTCGTGTGTCTGTCTGTGTCGTGAAGATGCCTGGCCCTGCACGCCGATCTTCTCGTACGTGTTGAGCGGCGTCAGGATGTTTACGACGCCCTCCTGCAGAAGACGCCGTCGTAGAAGGGCGTCTGGGTACTGCCACTCGGTGCCACAAGCGCCCGCCGCAGAGTGCGGCCAGGGCACCTCGTACGTCTCGCCAACCTGTGGAGTGGGGGGGGTGGGG